GGCGACATATATACAATAGATGATTCCATTAACCATAGAACAGATGATTCCATGGGAAACAAATAAGATTAATCATTAGAATATCAGCAAAGAAAAATAATTTTTGTCGCAAACATGACTTGCAGTTCTAACCATCGAGATTTTTGTCACATACGCTGTAGGGCAATTTGTTCTTGAGATATATAACAATTTTCAAGTTACCGTATGTTTCTTAAGACAAATTCTGATCAAAAGGATCCACAGAAATATAGTCAATATGTTCTTGAAACTGAATAGCTGCCAAGAAAATCTCCTCTAACATTTCTAGACTTATCAATAACAGGATAATAAAGATTGTAACCTAGCTATACATGTACAAATATTTGAAACTTCATTCTTACTTAAAGGCACTTGTTTCAATGACTATATTTTTGTTTATTCATAAACCTTAATAACATTAAAAAAATAAAAAAATAAAAAATTCCACATGAGCATTGCAATAATTTTATTAAAGACTACAATAGGATTTCAATCTACTAACCTGTTAAATGATTTAATTTATTGCTCAATTGAAGATGGTGATGAAGGCTGATCAAATACTGCACTTGCAAGCTGTGCGTATTTACTGTCTAACATATCATATTTACTCTCTAGCCCTTCCAGTCGTCCTTTTAGTGATTCATTTTCCTTTTTAGTAGCATTCAACTTCTCTAATAATGCAGCTTTCGAAGAGTTACCACCTTTCAACTCCGTAGCAGTTATCCCACCACCAAATCCAACTACATGACTCTTGCGTTGAGGTCCAAAGCACCTCTCTACAACCTCAATGTTTGTAAGAGACGATTCAGATTGCACCACTTCTTGGATTTTAGACTATAAATGAAAGATAATTTAATTAAAATACTGCAACACGGTAAACAAATGATGTAAAATGAAATTTATCAATAAACATACATATTTTTCATTGGTTTCAGATTCAACAAGCTTGTTGTCCATCTTACGAGTCTCAAAAAAGATAGTTGCCACATCTGGTGGATTGCCATCTTTACCTCCCTTCACATTCAAATAAACAAGGCAAAGAAATATTTTTAACAAGGATGAGATTTCTTAACAGAATTGCAAGATTTACTCACCAATTCATAAATGATCTCTCTAATTGGCTTACTACCCGTACAATGAGACATACTCAACTTAGACCTATTGACCGAGTTTCTTACACTTTTTTCCTAAATTGAGAACACACCAAAAAATTATGGTCAGCCACTTAATATAACAAGATGTTAGTTAATAAATAGTTATAAAATCATACCTTAAAATTATCTGATAAAAAATGCTCCTTAACAAGCCATTCCCAATCACTCTTGTCTACCCCATTTGGTACATCTTTTAGAGCATCACGAAATGGCTTAGACTTAATATTCTTGTGCAGTGATCCTCTCCAATTATTCCATAACTTTCTCATATGTTTCAAGACATGATCTCGTTGATCATTTATGTCATCACTATCAAATTTGTCCTATAATATTCACAAGTGTCAGTAAATATGAAACTATTCAATAAACTAAAAAATAAAAATTTAACCATCTGTGTGTATCAAAAGAGATGATAAATATATTATAAAGGTTATTATACGAGTTCTAATTGATAGAGAGGGCAGATTCTTAAGTCTGTGACTTTGGATATGAAAGTGGGAGATTGGTTCTATTGTAAAAATTTTATCATCCACAATAAAGTCATAGATAAGCCATGACAGATTCATACCATGATGTGCTGCACATATTGGTTCCCTATATTGATCTGTCAAAAAGCTATTACAATATAAATATGTTCAGTTTTTTATTACTATGTAATATCACCAAAGTTGGTCTAACTTTTAATCTGTTATTGTGCTAGCTCAAAATCTTCACTCAAAGATCAAGGGAAAAATGGAGAAGATGAAACACATCAGTAAGAGGAGAATGACAATCACTCTTTGGCATTAGTTCCTGTAGATTTGCCAAAGCCAAAGGAAAACAATGATCCCGTTGTTCTTGAAACCACTGTGACAGAAGTTCTTGATGCACGGAGGCATGCTAAAGAGAAACTTCAAACTCATATGGAGAGAAGAAATATGATTAGAGTTGGCTAATTTATATGACAAGTTGTTCATGGCATACTGGATGCTTATAGAACTATAGATAATGAAGTGCCAACCCTGATGATATTATATTATGTTCAAGCAAACTCACTGTTTCCATGTAATATTCTTGCAATAAAGGACATAATTTGGTGATAAACTTTCTATCCCAATTGAAAGGTCAAGGCTATGTCCTACTGGTGATCATCAAGTCATATTTGGTTGGTAAGTAAAAATTATTTATAACAACCAAGAAGTATAGAGATGGAAAATTCTTAACCAGTATCATAGAAAGTATAAGTACATTAAACACTAACTAAAAATAAAATGGAACACATGAAATATTAAGGAAACAAGAGAAATTCCATGAGACTTATTATGATAGATCTTTGAGAAGAAAAGGAACTCTTGAAGGAAACTAAATGCTATTATAAAAGGCCCACAGTTCTAGCTCTAGTTGAAAATCAAAACAAGTCTTGCATAGCAAAGAACGAGACTAGAGGGGATCTTCAGAAAATGGTAAGATAACACTTGCAATGGCAAGCACTTTCTATTTAGTGAAGTACATATTGGATTTTGCTTTGGAGTTTGGTGCATAAAACAAGGATAGATATTACACTATATGTGGTTATTCACTTTGTATATTACTTAAAGGAAGTATATAGCAAAATAGGGAAATCAGAGATGTTGTTGTCAAGTTTAACATGAGACCTTAAGTTTCTCTTACTCACTAACACATGCAAATAGCACTAACTAGGCATTAAAAGACATATTGAAACCTTTGTTAATACCAGCTCTGAGCTCCCTAAGATGAGAATCATTCAAAGTACTTATTTTTTCACTTTCTCATAACTACCCTTTGCAGCTTTATATTCCGCAACTGCTCAATCTTTCACTTTGAAAAATCAAAACTTGGATATCATGGACTTCCTCACATTCTAACTTGCATTTTTCTCATTTTTAGTATTCAACCAGTTACCAATCACCGAGACGATCAATCAGTCCGATGATTATTTAATAGCAATTGAATAATCAGCAACTGCACAGATTTTGACTCCAAAATTCAAGAGAGGAAAAAAGCTACTAATTGAACTCGGAACCATGAATTTCGTCCTCGAACAGTCACGTCCGAACCCGCAAAACACCNATTTTTTTTTCTGGAATTTGAAACGCAAACAGAAAATCGAAGAAGAAAACCTAAAAGCAGAGAAGAAATTTTTCCCTTAAAACCCTAGCTTTTCACTCACTTTTTCTGTTTAAAACTTAATAATTGAATTTGAACAGCCATAGTTTAGAACTGGGGTTTCATCTACACTAAAATTGACATAAAAGGGTACAATTTCGAATCTTACCTTGATGAGAAGAAACTCGAAGATGAGCACTAGTTTCAATGAAGGTGACCAGCAATTTCTCTAATTTCGCTGAATTTTACTTCACCGTTGCATGAGAAATAACAGTTACGGTTTACAAAATAAGTGTTCATAACAGAGGAGTTGGAGAAGTCTCGGGGTATTTTTCTTCTTTTTTGGGTGGTTGACGGATCCAGTTATGGGTGGGGAAAAAAGAGGGAAAAGTTAGCGCCACTTTTTATTATTTATTAACGACAAGCTATGTTATATTTTAAGGCCAGAATATTATCCCCTCATTAATGTTGAGCTAATAATTAGTTTTAACGACCGAAAAAAAATTTAGTTGCTATAAGTACACTTATAACGACCAGATTTTAGTCCATTCGTTAAGAAGTGGTCGTTAAAAATCAAATTTCTTGTAGTGTATACCATTATGGTCATGGTCAAAATCATTATAGGCAAGATATGTTGCTTCTATTATTTTTGCCCTGTAATAATTACATTGCCATAATATTTTGGTATAATCACAATAGGTACGTGATCAATGACCATTCATGCCATAATAATAAAATTATTTTCTTATTTCGACTCCAACTTCTTTCTAGAGGTTAGTGTAGTACATGCACTACCACTAACAAGTTCATATTCTTCCAAGAATGAATATGTATTCATAAATCACATGTTGTCACATTCACATCATGAATGGACCATAATCATCTATATGTGCTTTACAAAATCTCATGTCAAATTGCTGACAAATATTACTTTCATAGAGTGAAGGATTATTTTGAGAATCCTTATTATTCTCATTACCACAGTGATGGCAATTATAATTTCATCTATTGTCACATCCACATCCATTGATTCCTTCATGGTGATAATTTTATCTTTTTTCAGACTTATAACATATTGTTACCACATTCTTTTAAGTGAATGAGAATAAAGCAAATTCAATGGGCGGGTTTCCACTTCTTGTGTTGACAATCATACATAAATTTGATCATGGCAAGACATAGAAATTTTACCATTTCGGGTGATTATAATTTCTCACAAAATCTATTAGAGTTATAATCAAAAATTATTGTTGTTACTTGTATTTAAAATCAAATTATAGAATTTCAAGAATTTAAAAGAGAAAAATAAGGTAAAATACTTACGTTCAATCCAGAATTTATTCCTGAAGGAAGTTCATGGATCAATTGACAATCATTATGCTTAATATTATATATAAGTTGAGCATCATACACGTATCCCAAAGCGTGGTGACCAAAGCAAATGCCTAGTCTAGGAATATCAACGCATTCACGCAAGAGCCTCATGCAAATTCCTATATCTTCTATCCACGGGTGGTTTAATTTCTCAAACATTAGACAACTAATTAATAGTATATCTACAAATTAAAACAATCGCCTCTACTCAATTGGTTAGAGTCTCGTGATGTGTTATAAAATAATAAAAGAAGAAGATGAGTATTAGAGAGAAGAGTAGAGAGACAGAGAATTCTTATTGATTTTGGAATTATTTACGATGGAACCAAGTAATAAACCCTAAAATCTCTCTAAAATATAAAAATTCACCTTAAATACAATTCTATTTATAACAAAAAAGATTAACTTTCTGAAATGCTGCATTAGTTTTCTTATTTCACACCTATTATGTCTCTTAATTTCTTTCCTCGTTATTACGTACCCTTACAACTTTTCCTGAAATATCTCCTTTTTTTTTTCTCATCCTTCTTCTGTGTTTCGATTTCCTTTCTCATTCAAGCATATGCATTTACTTTCTTCCTTTACTCACTTTTATGACTGCCTTTAATAATAAATTATCGTTATTCCTTTCTTTCCAGCCTCCAAATCTTCATCTTCACTTTTTCTGGTCAGGTTTAATTATATTTCACTTTTGTGAAGACCTATAACATTTCTATGTGGCAAGATCTTTTTCCTACAGACCTCGCTAGCCTGCTAACTCATATATTGATGCTGAGTTTCAGATAACCATTTGAACAGAAGGGAGGAGTTTTTGTTAAGATCATTAATAATGAAGAGGATGAGAGTAGAGAAGAAGAAGGGGAGATGGAGATGCGCCGGACTCTGAAATGTATATTAAATGAATTTGTGTATTTGAATGAAATAGTGTAGTGTGCAGATTTTTTTATCTTTTATAAAGGCAAATAATTAGGAGGAAATATTTTTAGCGATGGAGGAAGTTACATGATAGGAGGAGAGAAAGAAGAAAATAAATGAAAGAGAGGGAACAGGAAAAGAAGAAAGTACGTACATATTTTAAAAATTTTCCCTTTCACTTATTATTATTTTTTTTTCTCGGGTTTATTTTCCATTTCTCTTTCTTTATCGTTAATACTAGAAAATTTCAAGAAGGAAAAAAAGGTGTAGAGTGTAAATTTTACATATATATTTCTATGGCCAAGAAACACGCCGTAAATGGATAAATCAGGGATAATGCATACCCCGATTTCCCGGTGAAGAAAACGGAGGAAGAGCACGGACGCACGAAGTTGAAATCGAGGCCGGGAACCCTTCGTATCGAGATCCATGAAAGGCGAACGATGTGTTCATCATCGGGGGTGATAAAGCAACGCTCCCCGAACGAATTCTAAGACCTCGGGAAATATGGTAAACAGTTACGCACGACGGATAGAGGGTCGTGATATCCGTACCTAACCGGATATCACGGCGCAGATCTCGCTCGATGTCGGTTACGGATCAGTAATTAATGAGAAAGGAAGATTTTTACCTTTTTAGACTTATACTAGGGATGAAACTCTCCTAGTATATAAAGGGGGAGTTTTTCTTGTGTAAGACACATTGTAACACGCGAATCAAAGCAATACAAATTTATTTCTGCTTTCTACCTACTGCTAAAGTTCTTAATTAATTGTTTTGTTCTTCATTCACAACTGAGCTCGAACCAAGGGTACAATCGAGGGCAAAGTTACTGTTCAACCTAGGTTCGGGCTAGGCCCTATCATTACAACTGATTTGATAATTTATTTTGTCTTTAACTTGTTCATCTAATATTCTTGGTTATTTATGTTGAATTAATCCACGCATCCTTAAAACCACGTATAAATTTAATTGTTATTAGATTTAAGGGTAAACAGTTTGACGCCCACTCTAGGGCTAAAGATAATAGCCGTGATTTGGTACGAATCTCCATAACACACCCTATTTTACGCTTGTTCTTTAAAGTATTAATTTCAGGTTAGCCCAAAAATGTTGAACTCTCAGTCTGCTCACTTGAACGTTGACGCTGAGTCTGACCATTATGGCGAAAATAATAATTTGGTGCCTAGCAACGAGGCGCCTCCCGCTGATCCCAACAATGCCCCAATTGCTGATCTGGTCGATGCAAACTTGCAGGTGGCCATTGACGTTAATTTTCCAACTGACCCCGAAAACAGTGTTCCTGGGGGACCCCGACCAACAACTCGAAAAGTGGCTGAAGACGAAGGTGATAGGGTAAGCCTGTGGCTGATCTTCGAAATGTTGCAGGCTCAACAGGTAGCAATAGCGCAACTACAGAATTAAGGTATGCCCCCAACAGGGTTGAGCCCGAACAATCCCGGGAAAGCACCCGAAGAAACGAACAAATCACCGAGAGACCGGGTGAAGCCGAGCTCGGGGTCAACCCTGAGATAATAAAAATGCTTGAATCATTAACAAAGCTAGTGGAGTCAGGTGAGAAGAAAATTGAGGCTAATGAAAAGAAGGTGGAAACATACAATTCCAAGGTCGATCAAATCCCGATAGAACCCCGACATTGAAGGGGACGGATTCCAAGAAATTTATCCAGAAGCCTTTTCCCCGAGCGCAACACCGAAGCCAATCCCTAATGAAAACAACTTAATCCTCGAAATCAATAAACCTAGAGATATCAGTCCTCAGCATCTCACATGATAAATATCGAGAGCTAACACAATACAACAATAAATACAACACACACAATCCGTTGCGGCGCGCAATCCGATTCCACCGTACAAACACAATCCTCCCTTATTTCACCATATAATTATCAAGAATAACATATAAAATCTGTTGTGGCGCGCAACCCGATCCCACAATATCAATATCAAATTCTCCATTATTTCATTCTAATACATAATCCTCTCTTATTTTACCTGTTGCGGCGTACAACATGATCCCACCGTATTATCATTTCGCAATCCTCCCTTATTTCACCTGTTGTGGCGCGCAACACGATCCACAAGCAATTTTAAATTAATAACAACAATCCAATCACTAAATTTACAAGAATCTCGACAATCAAATGGTATAAGAACACGTCAAAAAGGAACCACGTTATCAAAGAAATGCAACAAATATTACAAAAATAACATGACAAGTAAAGCACGTGACAACTAAGATGTGCAAGTAAAACAGTTAAGACAAGTAGCAAATAGGCACGGAGTCATGGAATGGACTCAACAATTAAAAAGGTAACAAGACAATAAGAAAGGCAATAACTTCAACTGAAACATGTAAGGGCAAAATAACAGGTAAGAGGTAGAACAAGTGCTACAACACCAAATAAAGCATGTAAAAGTAAATTAACAATGAGAGACATCACACATTATGACAATTCAATTAAAGGCATGGGAAGAGTCTAGATAACCTAAACTGGTCAAATAGTACAATAAACTCGAATCCTAAGGGGTAGTTTTCCCTACACAAAGTTAGGCAAGACACTTACCTCAAAGAAGTTAAACTGATACTCTAAAATGACTTTCTCGTGTGAAACAACCTGTGGACGGCTTAAATCTAGCCAAAATAACATAATATCATAAATAAAAATCATAGAAAATAATTCCGAATAATAAAGCTTCGATCTTTAAAGAAAATTAAAAAATCAACCCCGGGCCCGCACGTCGAAATCAGACAAAATTCACCAAATATGACAACCCATTCAATTACAAGTTCAACCATACCAGTTTCACGCAAATCAGACTCCGAATCGATGCTAAAAACTCAAAAATTCACTTTATGAAATTTTAGACAAAACCCCCCAATTTTTCTTTTGAAATCATCAACCAAATACCAAAAACGAGGATAGATTCATGAAATATAATCAAAACCGATTAGAGAACACTTACTCCAATCCATATGGTGAAAATCGCTTAAAAATTTGTCTCAATCCGAGCTCCATAGTTCCAAATAAGTAAAAATGGTCGAAACCTCTGAAATATAGTACTTAT